CTGTGGAAACTTGTGCTTTTTGTAGCCTTCCCTTAACTCCCAAACACATGCGACTTCTTTCGGTTGACAATAGCTTTTGAGGGAAGACAGATTCTGACTCATTTTCACACTTCCCCCACCTCCTCCCGCCCTCTCTGGCCCCATTTCGGTGCCTCGCCTAATGTTTACTACTCGTTATGCCTCCAAAGATCGTTAAGAACTCTGAGAGAAAGGACCGAAAACGGATCTAGCCAAAACCGGTTTGGCTCAGTGGATAGAACCACGGCCTGCGGGCTGAAGGATCCCAGGTTTGATTCCAGGCGGGCTGAAGGATCCCAGGTTTGATTCCAGTCAAGGGCAAGTAGCTTGGTTGCGGGCACATCCCCAGTGCGGGGTGTGCAAGAGGCAGCTGATCAATGTTTCTCTCTCATCGATGTTTCTCTCTTCCTCTCTGTGAAAAATCAATTTAAAATTTTTTTAAACACATCTAACAAAATGCCTGGCGCATCTACTAGGCCCTCCAAGTATAGTAGCTCTTTTAATGCTTAGCCCGGCAATACGTCATCTCGATCTTACAGTTTAATACATTTAGTTTTAAGCAAGACCTCTGGTCGGACAGCACAGCCCGAGGGAGGGCAGAAGACCTTGCATCGTCATCTCAGGGAGGCGTGAGGGCCACCATCCATCCCTTCCAGAGTCTTACAACTGTGACCGCGGGAGGCTCAACATACATAGTCCACAGGATTCTGGGGCGACTTTGCAAGCCCGGTTTCGAGCGGGGGAGGCCGGGACCCCAGTGCCAATACTAAAACATCCGAATTGGACCCTCAGCGCCCCCCTCGGACTCCCCGATCCCCAGAGGCAATGGGAGCGAGGGGAACAGGAGGAACGGGAGGCTCCCGCAGCGCTCACAGCGTGCACCGAACGCGCGGCGGAAGCCGGAAGAGGGCCGGCCCGCCCACCCGGGCGCCCCTGATTGGCTGCCGGCGACGCTTGGAACTCTGGGGGCCTGTGGCGTCACATCCGCCGGCCCGCCATCTTGTTCCCAGGGGCAGTTGGCGGAAGAGATCGTGCTCCCCTCCCGGCCGCCGGCTCGCCTTCAGCCGGGGTTTCTCGCGGCCAGCTTCTCGGCGTCTGCTCTCGACCCGGAGTGCGTTTGTCGGCGTCCTCGTCGCCCTCCCGTCACCCGGCCGGGGGCACAGCGACGCGGCCCCCTCTCCCGACGGCGTTCCATGGAGTAGGGTCCCGGACCGTTGTCCCGAAGAGCGATCGAGCTTGGCCCCCCTCCCCCCCTTGTCCCTCCCTCCTTCCTTCCTTCCGCCGCAACATGGCTAACAACAGCCCCGCGCTGACAGGCAACTCGCAGCCGCAGCACCAGGCGGCCGCGGCCGCGGCCCAGCAGCAGCCGCCGTGCGGCGGCGGCGGCGGCGGGGCCACCAAGCCGGCGGTGTCGGGCAAGCAGGGCAACGTGCTGCCGCTGTGGGGCAACGAGAAGACCATGAACCTCAACCCCATGATCTTAACCAACATCCTGTCGTCGCCTTACTTCAAAGTGCAGCTCTACGAGCTCAAGACCTACCACGAGGTGGTGGACGAGATCTACTTCAAGGTACGAAGCGTCTAGGCCCGGGCCGGGGCTCAGTTCGGAGAATGGCGTCCGGAGGAAACGGGCGGAGGCGGCCCCCCGAGGTCTGAAGACTTCTGGGGGGGATCCGGGGAAGGTAGGGTGGGCGTGGGGGGGAGCGGTGGGGAGGTGGTCAGACGGGGGCCGCCCTCTTTTCCTTTTCGGATGTTTAGGGCCGGGAGAGGCCGCCGCCGGTGATCGCTCACACACACCCCCCCGCCTTCCAGTCCCCCCGCACCTCCTGCCCACCCCTGGGGGCGCTGGACGAGACGGGTGGGGGGAGCAGGATAACGTAACGGACGCCTCTGCGGTTCACAGCTTTAAAACTGTTCCTTTTGATGGTGATCTCTCTCCTCGGCGCCAACTTGTTGGTGCTTCTCCCGCTCGCCCCGAGCCAAGGGCGGCGTAGTGACTTCAGTGTTGGCCTCGTGTTTGTTGGTATTTACCGTCCAGACAGGGAAATGGCCGGGGCGGGCGGGGCGGGAGGGGGGTGGACGGAAGGCCGTCCCAGCAGGAAGTCAGGAGTGAGTGGTCTCTGTTTACCTGTGCGTTGGGCTTACTGGACCCCTCCGGGCCCTGGGCTCCTGGCAGGGTCGGTGCTGGCTTGGCTGTGCTGGGGAGCTCACCTGGCGCCTCCTCACTGCACTCTTGTCTCAGTTCTTGTTTCGTTAGCAGGATTGACTCAGTCTTGCAGCGAGGCTCGGAGCAGCCCAGGGTCGCAGGTAGAGGTATGCACTATTAATCATGCTCAATCGCCATAAATGCATTTTTCCCTGGGTTAAATGGACGGCTAGTTAGATTATTTTGGCCATTGGTTTCGTTCTTTACCAGCTAGATGAGGCTTTCTCCACGTACCTGCAAATTACGTAGGGTTTTGTTTTGTTTTTTTAATCTTCCGGGCCTCCTAAGGTTATAGTTTAAAGAGTACTTATAACAGCCTTGACAATCCTTCAATATTTTAGCTAGAGCATCTAATATAATACAATCCGTTTTGTCTATATTAGCTCTTAAAAACATCTGACAGACCACATAAAGTATTTTCTGGGAGCTGAACATATCTGTGGAGGTGTTAATAAAAGATAAAACTTTAATTTGCTGTTCTGTCCATCTTTTCCCACTTAAGTTGAGTAGGTTATTGAAGGATTCTTTTTAATCGGTTGCTTTCGATAGAAAAAATCATCTTGAGAATACAGTTCAACTGTGGGTCTAAAAAGTACCCTGGAGTTTTGATACCCTTTTGCAGAGTATTGTAATACTATCAATTAGGTTTTTTGGTGTGTGTGTGTTTTTTTTCTTCTTTTTTTTTTAAGGTAAGGTCTTTTTCAGCATGGATACAGTGTGGTGACTATTCAACCCTCAGCTTTACTTACTAGTAAACTTCAAACAGTTGAAAATTGGGTTCCTGCTCTTCTTGTGGCAGGTTCTGTTTAATGTCAGACAAGTGTTAAGGTGATAGAAAAAGAGCTTGTTTTCAAATACTGTGTTTTGAAACACATCAAGATTCTACTAGAAAGTATTTCAATTTCGTTACAAAACTAAAGCCCCGCACTTTCTTATCGAGACATTAGGTCCAATGATGACGGAAATGTATAGGCTCACAATTTTGTAAGTCTGTTTTGTATTGCCTCCAGCTTTGCTGGCCTTTAAGGAATTGAAACCTCTTTGATGCCACAAGCTGGGGGAGTGAAGCAGCGAAGCACAGGCCCAGCTGAGCAAAATAGCGCAGACCTTTACACTCACAGGCCTGCTCTCGTCAGAAGCCAGAGAGAGGCTAACATGTAACTAAGGTGGGTGGGAAGAGAGTTTTAGAAACACACAGTGAAAGAACAGGGTTTTAGTTTGCACTTAAGAAACAGTAGTTCTTACCTTCCTAAAGGGCCTTCCTGAGTTCTATCTTTTATAGAGCTAATAATCTATCTTTGTTATATTTTAGGTAAAATGTATGATTTTTATAGGGTGCCCACCTTAGCAAAGATGATACTGAATCTTTGGGTGTACTTAGTGTAATGACTAATCACTTTTATTCGGCTGAATTGGTTCACATAATTAAGTTGAAAATAAATTATACACTAACCAGCAAGAATGTTCTCTGTAGGTGTGGGTGTAATTTTATCTTTAATTAGGAATGAATGTAATGTCTGATCATGTTTTTAAAAATGAATGAAATTCCAAAATTTTGCATCAGAAATAACTTGTTACCGTTTTAGCATACTTCCTTCAAGTCGTTTTTCTTTATTTTAGTAGCATCATAAAGTTGAACTATTAAAGGTATTTTAAAGGATTTTGAAATACTTAATCATTAATAATACTTTTTGCTTTAACTAGGAGTTTACATACATTTTAAAAGGAGAATTTTTTTTTTTAAGCAACTCAAAAGCTATAAAGTTGGTATTCTGTCAAATATCTTTTACAACCATGTGAGACTAGAAATGTTGGCTCCATGTGCACCAGCTCTCCACCGATGGATCTCTCCTCTGTAAAGCTGTAGTTTTTTAAACCTTGTAGCTTACTGGTGCTCTCTATATCATAAAGAGTTTTTTAAAGTTGGTTTACATGCTTAACATGTGTAAACAAAAAGGTACATCGTATCAAAACCCCCAATTCCGAGCTTTTGGAAGAGCTGCTCTCAGTGAATTGGGTTTACTTTAATTACTATACATGTAAAAAATGTGAAGCATGAATGGTTGTTGTGTTCCTTTTTTCTATTTTCAGGTCACACATGTTGAACCATGGGAGAAAGGAAGCAGGAAGACAGCGGGCCAAACAGGGATGTGCGGAGGGGTAAGTAGAAGTACGTGCATTTTTCAGTTTTTCTGTGTCTGAAAACTAAGTTTATACTTAAGTCAGTTATATCCTGTAATGATAATTAGTTAGAAGTTTGTTTTTTTTGGTGTGTTTTTTTTTTTTTTAATCTAAATTCAAGTGTCCTATGAATAGAATTAGAAAAGTTATTTTTTTAACATTCGATTCTTAGTTCTGGATTATATCTTGTTAATAATACCTATCAGGGTTACTCAATTGGTGTTAAGTAACTCTATTAATTATTTTACTCCCTTTTTTTTTTTTTTAACTCTTTCTTTTAAAGGTTCGAGGTGTTGGAACAGGAGGAATTGTTTCTACAGCTTTTTGCCTGTTATACAAATTATTTACTCTGAAGTTAACTCGAAAGCAAGTGATGGGTCTCATCACACACACAGACTCTCCATATATTAGAGCCCTCGGATTTATGTACATAAGGTAAACATGTATTTATCTACATTTTCATTAGTATCTCATTTTAATTCACATGAGCCTAATCTGTCTTTTGTAATTCTAGGTACACACAGCCCCCTACAGATCTGTGGGATTGGTTTGAATCTTTCCTTGATGACGAAGAGGTATGTCAACAAGGGTAATAATTAGTTTTTTTCTCTGATTATACTCTCATGTTTTTAATCTTTTTTATTTATTGAAGGTTTAAAGCCTTCTGGGATTTTCTGTAGCTAAATTTATTTCACTCAGATACTTTAGGAATTAATGTCCTTTTACTAAGACTTGGCTTTTATATATATTAATTTTTCTTAACTTTTACTCATTTTTAAATTTAAATGTTCTTTGATTATTAAGTCTTTTCTCTAATTATGTTGTGTTTATGGTATTGATCTTGACTTGTACAGTCGATAGTGACTTTTAAGGTGGACCATGCTCAAGATTAAAGTAATAAGACATGCTCATAGAATACTAATCAGAGCTTTTTCCCTGAAACTTATAGTTCTTACCTTCTAACTTCTTTCAAATATTAATGTTCCCACTTGCATAGAAGTACAGAAGTGAAGAGCTGGGTGAAACTTAAGTAGGCCAAGAGTTAAGATGTCTTGTTCAAGGTGACCAAAATATTTCAGTTCTAGTTTTCTGACTCCTGTTGTACTATACATACTTACAAAGCTAGTATATCTTTTTAAAAATTATTTTAGGTTTTGTCTTCATTATAAATCTAGTTTGCCATTCAAGCTTAACAAGACTGAGCTTGTTATATATGAAAAGAGTTACTTTAGGAAACTTAGTCAGATTTAAATAATAAATGCTTTATTAATATGCTTACATAGTGAAGCCCAAGAGCCCAAAGCAGACTTAACAGAGCTTTATTGTCCACATATCTATCCTTACCACTGCTTTATGTTTTAGTAGTCCTTTTTATTTTATTTTATTTTATTATTGGTATATATATTTTTAAAATATGTTTTATTGATTCTTTACAGAGAGGGAGAGGGATAGAGTTAAAAACATCGATCAGCTGCCTCCTGTACATCCCCTACTGTGAATGTGCCTGCAACCAAGGTACATGCCCTTGACCAGAGTTGAACCTGGGACCCTTCGTTCTGCAGGCAAACGCTCTATCCATTGAGCCAAACCAGTCAGGGCTAGTATATTTTTTAATATATGTGCCTTTAAGAGCCAGCCTATACTCCGGAAAGCCCTCCTACACTGAGCGGGAGGATGCTGTGTGTCCTGCCAGACTTCCCTCTTACAGGGGAGCAGAGAGAGCATAGGCCAGGACAAGTCAGTGGTCCTGTTTTTATGGATTAGCTAAAGAATTTGTTGAAATAAAGGAAAGGTGTGATAAAATCTTTCTAGTGTGGTGGTTATACACACCTTAAAAATTCTCATATAAACATGGAAAATTTTTGGATTTTGGGGGGGCCTTTTTACGGGGTTCAGTATTTCAGAAGAAGCAAAAGTTGTGTGTGTTAGGTGATAAACCATAATTTTAAACTATTTTTCTTTTTAGATGAGATTTTTTTTAGGCTGAAACACTTTATATATTTAAAAAGCGTGTGCCTTTTCATAATTGGTATCATAATGGTATGTTTCTGAATTCTTCTGTATAATCTTTTTTATTGTGTTTACAAATCTGAGGATCTCTATTTAAGCTAACGTATTGTTTTCTTCCTTAGATATCTGCAGCGATTATATTTGGAAATTCTGTATATCTGAACACTTAAATGTGTGTGAGTGCAAGCAGTTTTACCTGTAGCTCTTGTTTTCCTGTTTAGATAACAAATCTCACTTTCCTTGTGTGCTTGCACTATAGGTTTGGGACTGACAATAGCTGACTAACATGTCCTGAGCTGTGAGAGGGCATAGCAAGAAGGCCTTCATGCGGTAATGACCCTTTTCAGAGACAATGGTCATCATGGATTATGCGTTTCCAATTATTTGTCCATTTATTTATTTTCTACATGACTAAATTAGAAACCTCACTGCTTCATGGCAGTTGGTTTGCTATTGCTTCCAGCTTTATTAGGGCTTCATTTTATATTAGGGCTATTGAAAGATAGTCTCTAGACAGGGACTGTCCGAATAGCTCCTATGTAGCTAGGTCTCAGCACTAGGAGTGATGTGTGCAAACATTTCTCCCACAGAAGCAATGTATACTTAGTAGGTATGTGGAATGCAATTTTAAGTTGATTGTTCCACGTAGTTAAGTAATGTACGGGACTGTTTCATGTTCTTACTGAGCTCAGTTCTCTGCCCAGGAGGCTGCAGGATTTGTTTGTACCTGCATGCACACACTTAAGCCCGAGTATTTCTCTCTCATTCATTACCAGAATAGAAGGGTACACATTGAAATTGTCCTGTTAGATTTTTTTATTTTTTATTTTTTTGTATTTGAGAATCCAAAGATGGTAATTTTAAAATTTTTGAATAGTATTTGTGAACATGTTGAAATAATTTTTTGACGGCTAGGGTATCTTTTGTGTTTCTGTAGGACCTAGATGTGAAGGCTGGCGGAGGCTGTGTAATGACCATTGGAGAAATGCTGCGGTCTTTTCTCACAAAACTGGAGTGGTTTTCTACCTTGTTTCCAAGAATCCCAGTTCCAGTTCAGAAGAATATTGATCAACAGATTAAAACCCGGCCTCGGAAAATCAAGAAAGATGGGAAAGAAGGCGTTGAAGAAATAGACAGACATGTTGAACGCAGGCGTTCAAGGTAATTAACCTTATTTTAAAAACATGGTTTATGCAAAGGTCCTTAAAAGCAGTGGCAAATTCTGTTTATAGTGTTCATTTTATGGTCTGTCACTTTCCCTCCCCAAAGGTCATTTTCTGCCTTACATGCCATCTTCGGTAAAATCATGTATCTATAAATGGGAACAAGCAGATTTTTTGCTTTAATCATTCTTGATATGTTCATGTAAGCTAGAGATTTAAATTGGTAACACTCGTGTAAGTTAAATTTTTTATACTGTTTAATTCAGATTTTTTTCTTTCCTCTTTCTCAAATATTAGGTCTCCAAGGAGATCACTGAGCCCGCGGAGGTCCCCGAGAAGATCGAGAAGTCGAAGCCATCATCGGGAGGGCCATGGGTGTTCTAGTTTCGACCGAGAATTGGAGAGAGAGAAAGAACGCCAGCGCCTGGAGCGCGAAGCCAAAGAAAGAGAGAAAGAAAGGCGGCGATCCCGGAGTATTGATCGGGGCTTAGATCGAAGGCATAGCAGGAGTAGGGAAAGGCATAGAACTCGGAGTCGGAGTCGTGATAGGAAAGGAGATAGAAGGGACAGGGATCGGGAAAGAGAAAAAGAAAATGAGAGGGGTAGAAGGCGAGATCGTGACTATGACAAGGAAAGAGGTAATGACCGAGAAAAGGAGCGAGAGCGATCAAGGGAGCGGTCCAAGGAGCGGAGAAGTAGGGGTGAGGTGGAAGAAAAAAAACATAAAGAAGACAAAGATGATAGGCGGCACAGGGATGACAAAAAAGATTCCAAAAAAGAGAAAAAACACAGTAGAAGCAGAAGCAGAGAAAGGAAGCATAGGAGTAGGAGTAGAAGTAGGAATGCAGGGAAACGGAGCAGAAGCAGGAGCAAAGAGAAATCCAGTAAGCACAAGAGCGAAAGCAAGGAGAAGTCCAATAAGCGAAGTCGGAGTGGCAGCCAAGGAAGAACTGACAGTGCGGAAAAGAGAAAACGGGAGCGGAGCCCCAGCAAAGATAAATCTAGAAAGCGGAGCGGCAGCAAAGAACGTGCCCACAAACGGGATCACAGTGAAGGCAAGGACCAGTGTGACAAACAGGATGAGCGAAGGAGCCAAAGCGCAGAACCTGAGAGCCAAGAAAAACAAAAAAGCAAAGATGAGACTGTGTGAACATGCTTTGTGAAAGTGGATCACATTGAACCTATAAATCTTTGATTAAATCTGCTTTTTCCCCTCCCGAGTTGAGATTGTTGCAGTAGTGCGTACTCTTTAAGCTCCTGTAGGCTGCATTTTCATTTCCTCTTTTGTGTAGGGAAGTGCCTTTGTAATCCCATTTATTGCATTGATGTTTTCACCCAATTGTTGAGTTTGATACATGATGCACAGATTGTTCTTGCATTTTTACTGTTTAGTTTTTGAGATGTACAGTCTGTACATATGTCCTGAAAATGTTTTAATTTCTTTGGCATGGTCGCCATGTTGGTTAAATTTGTATAAGGCAATAAACTGCCACTAATTCTATTTTTGTTCTGTAGGTGTGGGATTATGGTTTGTGTACTGAAGTTTAGCATGGCTGTGCTTTTCGTAATAGAATGCTGAAGACTTTGACAATGGATCTTGGATGTTTATTATAGGAAAATGCTTTCGATGTACATGAAGGCAGCAGCAGTTGTAGGATTAACATTCTTGTCCACTGTATATTATCTTGGAAGACTTGTTAATATGTTATACTTAATATTCTCCACAGTTAACTTTAGAGAGAATTTATGAGTAGTTTCTGATACAGAGGTTTAAATTAGGCTGTGATTTGATCAAATGTCCTTTTAGCATTCTACCTCAAAGGGACACTGTTAGTATGCCTAAAATTTATTCACTTAGTTTTTTTAATTGAAAAAATACATGACGTATTTTTTTTTTAATTTCTCAAATTTTAAAGTACTATATTAAAGGGAAAAAAATGTCTAAAGCCCAGCATTCTTGCAGTAACCCTATACTAACATGAAATTGGGAGAGGGTGGGGCAAAGGAGTAGAGAACTAGATTCAAGCCTCAAGCTTCCAAAGCATTTTTATAAATGGAAAATACTTAAATTATAAAACAGCTTGATATAGTGTCCTTTTTTTAAAATTCAAAACTTTTTTATTGATAATGAAGATTGCTGTTTGAGTTTTTAAACTTAATGTAGAACAGAGAAGTATTAAAAGTAATGCTATGCTGCATTATTTAAGATTATTGGCAAATTATTTGATAGATTGTTCTTATGACTTGTATTCTGATTACAGAGAAGGATCATGAGTGTGGAATAAATACTGGATTAAATCCTTTATCCTGGGTGTTGACTTTTCCCCTATGTGTTAATATTTTTTAAAAAGTATTTTTGTGGAAATGGGTAAAATGTTGGTAGAGTCACACTGTGAAAAGGTACATTTCAGTGGATTTTAAGTGTGTAGACCAGAATTGGGCATAGGTCAATACTCTATACTTTCTAGAGTTCTTAATGGCAGTTCCCTTTGTTCAGGGGTGTTACATTACTGGATTATTTTTTGGATTGGGTGATTACTCAGTTTCACATCAAAGGTGCTTATTGAGGTACTTTGTACTTGGATTACATGATTGGACTTAAAAGAATTTTTGTAAGTTAGCTCAATTTTTTTTAGAGCTGAGAAACTCAAAAGTGATTTGTTCAGTCAGTGCCAGGACTAACATGAGTGTTCCTGAAATAATATATTTTGATCTCACCTTTTATTGGCCAACTGATGGGCACTCAGAAGCCACCTAGCAAAAGTGTTAAATGGAGCAAACAAGTATATTTGAAGAGCCAGCCCTTCGTATGTGGGCTTAACATTTGTACCTACCTAACTCCAGAAATATCTCATTAAATGAAGAAATTTCTCTGTGAAAATGCTATGTTTTTTTTCTTTCTTTTTTTTAAGATTGTCATTAAATTGAGATCAAGTGAGTTGACACAACACAGAAATGGGAAAACTTCTGAGTAATGAAAAGCAGATACATCTCATATAGAAAATACTTTTGGTATACCTAAACTAAAGGTACTACTCCTTGGAATATAGTTCTACATGAAATGTTAATTCAATGGTGTATTTTAAGTAAAATGTGAAAGGACGGACTTCAAATGGAGGTGAAAGTTTATATCACAAGCTGCGTTTGATTTCCTGTGACATTAAAGTTAAGTTTGCTTTTGAGGAACATTTTAATAGAACATGCCATAATACTAGATGATGTCAAATATATTTAGGATTAATTCTTCCAACACAAGAAACTTGGAAAGTAACTAGCAGCCTCCACCCAGTTTTCACAACTTACTAAAATGGTCTCAAACTTCCATTTATACCTTTTGTCTGTTTCCTAATGTTAAGTTTATAATTAAGTTATATACATGAGTTAGTCTAATATCACTCGATAATTTAATTGAAAATATCCATATAAATGCTCAATCTTTTAGTTAAATCTAGTTCCTTAGTTCTTAAATTTTGAGTTACGGGTCCCTTTTTAGGAATCAAATGAAAACTACAGATCATGTCTAGAAAAGAAAAAAGTTCATTCTTGAATACCTCAGTTGGTTAGGCGTTGTCCTGATAAGCCAAGGTTGGGGTTTGATCCCTGGTCAGGGCACATACAATCAGCAACCAATGAATGCATGAGATGAAGCAACAGATCAAAACTAAAAAGGGCTCAAATTCACACAAAATTTCAAAAGGACTAAACGGGCTTTTATGCTGTTTATTTACGGATTTAAAAAAAATACTGATTTTTTTATACAGAGAGGAAGGGAGAGGGTTAGAGAGTTAATCTATCTGCTGCCTCCCACACACCACCTACTGGAGATGTGCCCACAACCAAGGTACATGCCCCTGACCGGAATAGAACCTGGAACCTTTCTGTCCACAAGCCGGCGCTCTATCCACTGAGCCAAATGGGCCAGGGCTACTTAACTGATTTTTACCAGCCTGTGATAGGTGTCCAGTAGTTACGAATGAATAGCAAGTTACTGGGAGAATCAAAAGACAAGGTGGGGGTGGGGTTTTTTAAACGAAATTAGGGGGGGGGGGGAAGATAATGGTATTCACTTCCCTTCTGCAAAATAGTTTCCTTTATGAATATAAGTAGTTTATTTGAACACAGATGAGGCCCAGAGAATGGCAGTTAGTGTGTTTTTTTTTTAACTGATTCCAATGTGTGACCTTGATTAAACTCGTTGACCATTCAGGTTACACTGGCCAACTGATGAGCTTAAACTTGGTTCAGGTCCTAATCGGATTCGGTCCTAACCCGCTGAATTCCTTGAATGACTGACCCAATTACAGGACTAATTCAGTGGAGCCGATTCGGCCTCTGAAATCCCTCCATTCCGTTCTAAGAGCCACCAGCTCTTCGACTTCCGAAGAGGTATTTTTCATTTCAGGATCACGGGCTGTCAACATTTGCTACTGTAGGAACATGACAGCATGAATACAATCAGCTGAAAGAATGCCAGCATCATGGCTGACTTCAAACCCATTGTTCTGTTCCTCAACTTCAATAGTCGAGATTACATTTCTGTGACATAACCACAGGTTGGGTGGGGTGTGAAGTGTTCAGGTTGGGTGGGGTGTGGGGCCGGGGTGCTTAGCCTATTGCAAACGAGTTCTACCTGTTCAAGGTAAACAGCTGGCTTCGGCTCCCAAGTCCCCCTTCATTGCTCTAGAGTAGGGGTGTCGAACTCAAATCAGAGAAGGGGCCAAAATCTAAAATCCAGCCTAAATCGCGGGCTGAATGGTTTACTGAACAGTCATAAACTGTCATTGTGATGGAAACGCATCGGAGTGCAGTGATGACAGCGCGGTGCGGGCCACATTGCAAGTCCTGGCGGGACGGATTTGGCCCGCGGGCCGTAGTTTGAAGACGCCTGCTAGACTGAGGTACTGGAGTGAGCCCTCACTGTTTCTCCTGCCTGCTGGCACAGGATGGCACGGGTTGGCAGAGGTCGCAGGAGGAAACCGCGCCCGGGTTCTGGTGAGGCTTTCTCATTGGAAGTGGATAGGACCCTGGCCTGTCCGGAGGCCCCTCCCAGCTGTCCTCTGGTTTCCCCTCCAGCTTCCCAGCAAGTCTTCCTGGCGCTTTCTAGCGAGTTCAATGGCACCACTCTGGGTGGCCGCCTAACCAGTTTTTATATATACATATATATTTATTTTATTGATTTTGTACAGAGAGGAAGGGAGAGAGAGAGAGAATTAGAAACATCGATGAGAGAGAGTCATCGATCAGCTGCCTCTTGCACACCCGCTACTGGGGATATGCTCGCAACCAAGGTACATGCCCTTGACCAGAATCGAACCCGGGACCTTTCAGTCCCCAAGCCGACGCTCTATCCATTGAGCCAAACCGGTTGCGGCCGCCTAACCAATTTTGTTGACACCCCTTCCTCTCCAGCCCCACACTCCAGTACCTCAGCAAAGAGTGGGTCACCCTCTCCGACAAAGTCTGAATGGGAGTCTCGCAAGGGAATCTCTTCCAAATTGGTTCCTCCTGGGATCCTCTGCCTAGAGGTGGTAGCTGCTCCTACAGCCACTATTCTTGTATTCGTAGGCATTCTCTACCCTTAGTTAATCCTCTGTTACTGATTAGTAATTTTTTAAAATATATTTTAGTGATTTTTTTTTTTTTTTTTTTACAGAGAGGGAGAGAGATAGTTAGAAACATCGATGAGAGAGAAACATCCATCAGCTGCCTCCTGCACGCCCTCTACTGGGGATGTGCCCACAATCCAGGTACATGCCCTTGACCAGAATCGAACCTGGGACCTTTCAGTCCGCAGGTCGTCGCTCTATCCACTGAGCCAAACCGGTTTCAGCTGATTCGTAATTCTTTACATCCAAGTTTCCAGGTTCAAATTGCTGTTTTCTGTCTCCTGACTGGCCCCTGGCTGTTATAGTGGATTAAGATACCAGTCACATGGGTGCCCCTCCTCGGACTGGTTGGTAACCCCTGCTGTAGTTTAGTATAAAGGGTTCAGCCAGATAGGTTGAGAATGATGTAAGCAAATCAGACTGGCTCCTAGAATTTTGCCTGACAACTAAGTAAAAATTGTCCAGTCCTCAAAAGAATGGGCTACCCTTGTACAGTTGACGTTTGAGGATGCCCATTCTCCCTTCAGTTTCTTTGTTTCTTTTTATGATGGTCTGTGTTTCTCTTTGGAATCCACAAGTCTAACTGGATTCTTTTACTGTAGTCGTCAGGGATTCCTGATCAGGGAAGGTCTTCCTGCCATTTTTTTTGAAACTTCACTCATCTATCTGTGCTCAGCACCGAAGGAAATGTCATCTACTGAACTGGATTGGACTTGGCGAAGAGGTGGAAAAACACATTCTAGATACAGTTGCTTTTCCTTGCTGGGATGGTCTGTCCCAATGCTCATTGGTTGAGCATTGACCTATGAGCTGGGAGGTCATGGTTCAATTCCCAGTCAAGGGCACATGCCCGGTTTCGGGCTGGATCCCCAGTAGGGGGTGTGCAAAAGGCAGACAGCTGATCAATGGTTCTCTCATCGATGTTCCTGTCTCTACCTCTCCCTTCCTCTCTGAAATAAAACAATACGTTTTTGTTTTGTTTTTTAAGGCAGACTAGGAAATTCGAAAGGAGCCAGGGTCTGTGAGGACTCCTGGGAAAAGAGTGGCCTCCACTATTTTATATCAGAAAGAAACTATCCTTTATCCACGGATTACCTTTGCACCTTTGCTGAAAATCAATTGTCCTTCTATGTGTGGGTCTACTTTTGGACTTTACTCTGCTCCATTGATTTATTTACCTTATCTTGATGCCAATTCTTATATTTAATCTTAATTACTGTAACTTTAGAAGTCTTAACGTCAGGGAAGGTCAGTCCAGCCTTCTTTACCCCATCTTGATTGGAAGCAGAGATCAGACCATTTAGTATTTACGTGATTTCATCTAAGTCAGTTAATACTGCTTACTTGTCTATTGTTAAAATTAAACGTTATAGAGCTTGGATTACATGTTAATTATTATTAAGAGCTGAACTAGGGCCCTGTCCAGTGTGGCTCAGTTGGTTGAGCATCGTCCTGTTCACTGAAACGTTCGCGGTTCGGTTCCCAGTTGAGGTACAAGCCCAGGTTGCAGACTGGATCCCCTGTAGGGGAGGCCGAGGAGGCGGCCCATCCCTGTTCCATTCTCACATTGATGTTCCTCTTCCCCCCTCTCCCTCCCTCTCTGTCTCAAAACAAAAATCAATAAAAACATATATATTTTTAATATATACATTTTTATTGATTTTTTACAGAGAGGAGGAGAGAGCTAGAAACCTCGATGAGAGAGAAACATCAACCAGCTGCCTCTTGCACACCTCCTACCGGGGATGTGCCTGCAACCAATGTACATGCCCTTGATCGGGAATTGAACCTGGGACCTTTCAGTCCGCAGACTGACACTTTACCACTGAGCCAAACCGGTTTCGGCAACATATATATTTTTAAAAGAGCCTAAACTACGTATGGAAGATGGTTCTGGAAATAACAGGTGTTGGAACTGCAAGGTGGAACGGGGGAGGGACGAACGTACTCCGCTCATCAGGTGCCTCCTGCCGGCTCTCCCACCTCAGCCACATGCTCCCGCCCTTTCATCTTTATGGGTTTATTTCTTGAGAGAGAAATGACATGCGATACATGTAAGTCGGAGGTGCACTCTGTGTCTGTTTGACACATTTACATATGACAATGTGATCACCACAGTGGTGTTAGCTAAACCATTCCACATCACCGCATCATGATTTCTGTGTGGAGGCCGGCTAAGATCTAGCCTCCTCCCTCTATGAAGCGGTGTCCTGGGTGAACTCTCTGGGCCCTGCGTTGGATGTCAGGACTTATTCACCTGCCACGTGTGAGTTCATATCCCTCAGCAATCCCTCCCTGTGCCCGGCCCAGCCCCTGCCCTGTTGTCTTCCATAGTGAAGTCTGGCAGCAAATTGCCCTGCACAGCAGGCTGATCACTCCTTACAGAGACCAGAGCAGCAGCCCAGATGAAAAGGGATAAATAAAACCTGTCAGGAGCCCCACGTTGGAAATGATCATCCTGCTATCTCCATGATTCTCTGCGCAGCTTTTATGTAGAAGCAAATGTGTTTGTGTGTGTTTTTTTAAGAGAAAAGGAGAGCATTCTACGTATTACCTTCAATCATACCCAGGTCACAGCAGTTTTTTGGCTGGCTTGGCGTGGCTTTCTTCGACTCTCTTTCTCAGTCTTTGCAGTGCCTGTGCCGGCCGGGCTCCAGGCCCCAGTTACAGGTCAGCACGCCCAAGGGGAGGAGCTACTTGCTTGCCAAGTTCTGTTCCAGCCTCGGGGCCCTCCATCCCAGGGACCCACAGTGCCTCCTGGGGACCAAAGAGGACCCCATCACTCGGTCGTGTGCCCTGTGAGTGCCGTGTCCAACACCATGGATGGTGGGCCCAAGAAAGGTTTGGTTTTGATTGGATTCAGTCTTTTCTACGTTAAAATGGTGAGTTGATCATTCTGAGCTACCTGCAACTATTTGGGGGGAGGGGGGGAGGAGGGCGAAGGAGAAAAACATTGATTACCTGTCTCTTTTAGGGCCCAGGGGGTGAGGAGGAAGAAATCAAAATACTCTTGAACCATCCTAAGATTGTGTATGTTTGAGTGCTTGAAATGCGATGCCATTTACTAGCGAGAGCAAACAAAATTATCATTGTATTTTAAGAACAAAGATTTCTGAAAAAATCTGTCAGTGGCTACGGACTTAGTTCAATAGGCAGATTCAGGGAGAAAAATGAAATAGTAACATGAACCGACTCCAGCCTCTAAATGCTAGTTAGGATCGCTTTGTGGTAGGTCTGAGTGTGCGGAAGGGACTTGTGCAAAAATGAACACGCTGTCCGGAGTGAAAGACGGCTCCCATCACGTGTAAAATGTGATGAACGTACTGCCCCTTTGATGGATGTTTTTACATCTCCCCAAACGGTGTTTTTTCATTCTGGTTCTAATTTTCCCAACTTTCCTTTTCAGGTTGCTTCAGCGGAAACAGGTACAGTTTTCTAAAATGCAAACTCCCCCTCCCTGTGTTTGATGTGACTTTTCATTGTGCATTCTTGGCTACCCTGAAATGGAAAGGCTCTCCCAGAAAAAAAAAAGTATTTAACACTTTCACGGGCTGTGGGCGGAGCTGGTAAGGCAAATACATGGATCAAGCTTAAAAAGTAAGTCCTCTCCCCGGCTCGTTTGGCTCAGTGGATAGAGCGTTGTCCTTAGGACTGAAGGGTTCTAGGTTTGACTCCTGTCAAGGGCACATGCCCAGACTGTGGGCTCGATCCCCAGTAGGGGGTGTGCAGGAGGCAGCTAATCAATGGTTCTCTTTTATCAAGGATGTTTCTGTCTCTCTCTCCCTCTCCCATTTCTCTCTGAAATTAATAAAAGTATATTTTTTTATTTTTTTAATATATTTTATTGAAAGATAATAGGGAGAAAGGGAGAGAGATAGAGAGCTAGAAACGTCGATGAGAGAGAAACATCAACCAGCTGCCTCTTGCACACCCCCTACCGGGGATGTGCCAGCAACCAAGGTACATGCCCTTGACTGGAATCGAACTTGGGACCTTTCAGTCCGCAGACCAACACTCTATCACTGAGCCAAACCAACTTTGGCTAAAAGTATATTTTTTAAAAATAAGTTCTCAAAAAACAACAACAAAATAACAAACAAAGATAAGTCCTCCTAAGATGTTCTTATTGAGTCCTAAGAGGTATAGAGTCATGTAGTCACCTTTCAAACAGAGGTAGCCATCAGTAAAATATTACAAAACCATCATTTCAGTAAAAAAACAAACACACATACACAAAATTTCAGTCATAAATAGTGAGGGGTCTAATTTATATAACTTCTTATTTTTCTTCTGAGGAATTAGAGCAGAAAACTAGAAATGTTTTTTAATTAAAATCTTAAGATTCTCCATTTTTTTCCACTTTAATAAAAAATAATTTACACTTCTAATATTGCATCCTTAAAATATAGATAATGGTAATGTGGAGCTGGAAAAAGGCTTTAAAAAAAAACACTCCACTGTTTTATTACCTTTTTTAAAATAAATGAATGACTGAAGGCACAGATAATTTCCCTAAAGGACTCTTCTCACTCATACATTCTAGAAATCTAAGTCCCCAGAATGGAAGTTTATATTCAGTGGGATTTAGAAGATCTGGAGGGATCTTAAAATATTGATTATATCACCAGTAATCTCTCCCACCAATTCAACATAAGAATAACTTTATCTTATTCTTTTAAAAAGTATGTTTTTATTGACTTTTAGAGAACGAGGAAAGGAGAGAGATAGAAACATAGAACATAGACGAAAGAGAACCACCGATCAGCTGCCAGCCTACAACCCAGGCAGATGCCATGATCAGGAATTGACCCGGGGATCCCCTGGTTCGTGGGTCAACACTCAACCATTGAGCCACACCGGCCAGGCAAGAACAATGTTAACTTACTGTTTTATCTATACCCCAGTAAAGGAAGTATAAATGAGGCAGTTTCAAAGTTGATATTAGACATATGGCTGAGCCATAAAATGCATGCATATACGATAGGTTTTTAAAAATCATTTATGCTTTCTTCTTCTTCACTCATTCTTGAGAAACCTTCTGAATTGATCAGGAAGTTATGAGAAGAACTGTCTCGCCATAGACAGAGTGATTGTGTTGTAATCGCTTGGAGTGGACAAACAGAGATCCCAGGGCACACTCAGAGACTCCGGAACGAGAAGTTTTCTAGGTCCCTCACTACTAGGGGGCCGGCTGAGGTCCCAATGGCGGCTGGCGGCGGTTGATTTGTCCTGGCTTTTTTTCAGACGGGTGTGTGTTCTCCGCTGTGCGGAGGTTTCCATTCGGATGTGTGTCTTTGCAGTCTCCTCGGGCTCTGGCACCAGCTGTCTGTGATCTGTGTCTGGGCGCTGGGCCGTGCGGGCTCACGGAGGCCCTGAGCCAGGAGAAGAGAACGCTCAGAGGCTCAGCATCCGGGGTCCCGCTTCTGACTCACAGGAATGGCTGACACACGTCTTCTCTCCCATCAACGCGCCCGTGGGCCAAACACAGAACCCAGACAGAGGGAAGGGTGCTAATGGGTGGAACCTGCCATCCATGCAGGCTGCCCTTCTCTCTCTCTTTTAAAAAAAATATATTTCATTGATTTTTTTTTTTAACAGAGAGGAAGGGAGAGGGACAGAGAGCTAGAAACACCGATGAGAGAGAAATATCAACCAGCTGCCTCCTGCACACCCTCCACTGGGGATGTGCCTGCAACCAATGTACATGCCCTCGACCAGAATCGAACCTGGGACCTTTCAGTCCACAGACCGATGCTCTGTCCACTGAGCCAAACCGGTTTCGGCTGCCTTTCTCTTTCAGCGGACAGGTCAGAGGTGTTGATCTTTTGTGACTGTGCCGTTCAGGTCCTGCCCTACAACCAAGTGAAAAATGGGTGCATCAGGCAGCCTATGTCTCCGGCCTGTGCTGGCCCCAGACTCCCCAGAATCGCGCCTTCCCTGGCACCTCTCCATGGCACTGCCATGCAGGCTGGCTTTTCCAAACCCAGAATTGACTCACCCTGGTACACACACACACACACACACACACACATACAAGCCCTTCCTACCTTTCAAAGTCCCCCTACATACACTCTTTCCCTTCATCTTTACAGCAGTTATGAGATGCAGGTATTTAAATATGTAGGTATCTATACTAATCAAAGGGGAATATGCTAGTTAGACCAGACAGCCGGACGACCTTCTGGACGTCATTCCGGATGACCTTCTGGACAAAGCAGCGGCTGCGAGGGCCAGGCCCCTTGCACGAATCTTATGCATCGGGCCTCTCGTTATTAATATTGCACATTCTCCAGGGAGAAAACGGAGACTAGAAGAGGTGAAATGACTCATGCATGTTCATAAGCGGTGTGCCCAGTGGTTAGAGCGTCGGCCCAAGCACCAAAGGGTCTCACGTTCGAGTCCCTGCCAAGGGCAGGTACCTGGGTTGTGGTTCGCTCCCTGCCCCTGATCAGGATGCGTGCAGGAGGCAAGCAGTCAATGTGTCTCTCACATCGATGTTTCTCTCTCTCTCCCATCAGCTCCCCCTCCCAGGAAGTTATCCCATCCCCATGAGCAAGGCTGGCTGACGAGAAAGATAAACTATGGGGGCAAAGGAAACAGGAGGGGCTGAGGGACACCACACACGCAGAGGAAAGAGAGCAGATTACACAGGAGCAGGAACGCAGGGAGCAGGAAAGGGATGCGGGTTTGGGAGGGATGAAACAGGGCGAGTCCCTCTGGAATCTCAGAGGGCAGGTGGGGGAGGGGGAGTGGGTGGGAAGAATCAACCGAAAACCTTGTGTGCACAGATGCATAACCCATGGGCACAGACAATAGGATGGTGAGGGCCTGGGCAGGGGGAAGGGGTGGGCTAGAAGAGGTTAATGGGGAGAAAAAAGGAGATGTGTGTAGTACTTTCACCATAAAGATGTAAAAATCCCTGGCTGGTTTGGCTCAGTGGATAGAGCGTCAGCCTGTGGACTGAAGGGTCCCAGGTTGGATTCCAGCCAAGGGCACATGCCTGGGCTGCAGGCTCAATCCCCAGTAGGGAATGTGCAGGAGGCAGCCAATCCATGATTCTCTCTCCTCACTGATGTTTCTATCTCTCTCTCCCTTTCCCTTCTTCTCTGACATAAAAAACAAACATATATTTCTTTAAAGAAAGAAAGAAAGAGAGCCCTAGACGGTTTGGCTCAGTGGATAGAGCGTCAACCTGCGGACTGAAGGGTCCCAAGTTAGATTCCAGTCAAGGGCACATGCCTGGATCTCCAGTAGGGGCATGCAGGAGGAGGCCGATCCATGATTCTCTCTCATCACTGACATTTTTATCTCTCTCTCCTCGCTTCCTCTCTGAAATCAATTTTTTTTTAAAAAGAAAGAGGAAGTCCCTGCTGGGACTTTCTATGCTGCAGGGGGGTGGGGGGATGGGAACGGGGGACATGGCGCTTCCTGCAGAGTCAGCTTCTGCTGGCCAATGGCTGGGATGAGCAGGCAATTTCCCCCTCCTTCCAACCCTCCCCCTCCCCCCCCCCCAATCTGGGCATGAAGAACCATCATCATTTTCTGCCGATGGCAGAGGGGACAGGCCTGGGTGACGGTCAAGGAATGCCTGGCCCGCGCACAGTGCGCACTTTGTTCCTCCGGGCGGCAGGGCTGCTCCTGAGCCGTGCCAAGGCCTGCTCCCTGGCTGCTGGTGCAGAGAGGGGGTGTCTGTGCTGTGCACACCGGGCTTGGCAGGTGGGGGCAGCCGGGGGGGGGGGGGGGGCACTGGCAAGTCACACATTTGGCCTGTGTCCGCTCCTCCTCCTCTCTGCCCTGTAGCTACGCTTTGCCTTTTCGTTTGGAGTCTGGCATGCCGTGATTTTAACCAACAAACATTTGCTCCACGTTACAGGGAACAGGCCAGGCACCTGTGTCAAACCAGCTATTTTTATTTGACCTTTTCTTCCACTTGGATCAACATCCGGGGCATTTTTGTGCCTGTGGGGATTTCTGCAAAAGTAGCAAATCTGATGACCATGCTGTGTCTCCGCCCTGTGCTGAAAGTCTAGGAATGCCTTGTATGATTTTGTGACTTAAGCAGTCATAGCTCCCTGGCAAGCCATGGCCAGGCCTCAGGGAGGAGGGACCAGAGCAGCCTGAGGCAGGTATTTTGATAGAGAAAGGGGGAATCAAGTTGATTTTTATTTTATATAAAACAATCTGAAAATGGTCCATTCTAATAACAGGAAAGGAAATTCAATGGCATGGTCATACAACCAAACTCAATTTTCCCTGCTTCCTCCATTAGACTACACGCACGAGTCAAGACTCGGCCACGGCAGAGGTGGGGAGGGAGGTGGACTCTCGCCACTGGACTCAGTGGAGAGTAATCATGGGCTGGAGGTGGAGATAGTGGCAAAGCAGGCTGGGAAATTACCAGGATGCCAAACTAGAGTAGAATCTTCTGGAATAAAGCCCCTCAAAGACCCTCTCCCTCCTCTCAGAGATCTTTCCCCACAATCATTCCCTACTCTTATTTCACTCTTAAAAATACCTAACTGGTTTGGCATAGCATCGGCCTGTGGACTGAAGGGTCCCAGGTTTGATTCCAGTTAAGGACATGTACCTTGGTTGTGGGCACATCTCCAGTAGGGGATGTGTAGGAGGCAGCTGATCAATGTTTCTCTCTCATCGATGTTACTATCTCTCTCCCTTACTCTCTAAAAAAATCAATAAACTATATATTTTTTAAAAAATACAGAAACCGCCGGGACTGGTTTGGCTCAATGGGTAGAGCGTCGGCTTGGGGACTGAAAGGTCCCGGGTTCGATTCCAGTCAAGGGCATGTACCTTGGTTGCGGGCATATCCCCGGTAGGGGGTGTGCAAGAGGCAGCTGATCGATGACTCTCTCTCATCGATGTTTCTAACTCTCTATTCCTCTCCTTCCTCTCTGTACAAAATCAATAAAATATATTAAAAAAAAAAAAAAAATACAGAAACCATCCCAGAGGCAAGTGAGAAAAACCTCTTTGAAATTTCATTCCTGATTGGACAGTTTGAGCTTTCTGAATCTCTTCTGGAACATAGCTTTGCCTTTATTTTTCTGTTTCTTCTTTTTTAAAAAAATAATATTTATTTTATTGCTTTCAGAGAGGAAGGGAGAGGAAGAGAGAGATGGAAACACAAGGATGAGAGAGAATCATTGATCACCTGCGTCTTGCATGCCTCACACTGAGGATCAAGCCCGCAACCCATGTACCCTTGACCAGGAATTGAACCGTGACCTCCTGGTTCATAGGTTGACTCTTATCTACTGAGCCACAAGGGCCAGGCTGTTTCTCCTTCTCCTCCTTCTCCTTCTCCTTCTCCTTCTCCTTCTCCTTCTCCTTCTCCTTCTCCTTCTCCTTCTTCTTCTCCTTCATCTTCTTTTTAAATCTGGGAAGTCAAGGCAGAGTCTGTGTCTGAAGGATGATGTAAAAATGGTGCAGTTTGCCAAGTCAAATGATGACGGAAGTCATTCTTATCGGTGTCCCCTAGCTAACAGTCAACTTCAGAATCTCTTTCAGCTCCTGAAATACCCACCATCGACCAGGCCTACTCAAAAATCAGCAACAGCATCACCGTGGAGTGGGCTACGGTGCCAGGCGCCACCAGCTACCTCCTCACGGCCCAAGATGGGGACACCGTTATTGAAACCACAGTGGCCAATTCCCCGGGCACTGTGACGGGCCTGAAGGCTGCCACCTTGTACCAGATCACCGTCAGGTCCATCAGTGCCGCTGGGAGAAGCCAGGCATCGCCTCCAAAGCAGGCAAAGACAGGTAGCTGGACGCTGCGATGGCGTGATGCAATTCTGTGTGGCGTGAGTGCCCATGACTCAGGGCCCAGAAGTAAAAGCCACCAAATGGCGTCTTTTGGGAATGTGGTTATCTGCGGGGAAGGTGGCATTTAAACCCCAGATGCTTTGGGAAATAAGCATTCCTGGGCATCTTGAAAAGCACCCCTGCTTGCAAATCTCTGGAAAAGGGATTTCTATTTTTAACCGGTTATCTGTCAAGATTGGGCAGAACAAAGGACACTTGGACTTACTCAGAATAACAGCATTTGTGGAGTTTGCCATCAGCATAACTTAAATAGATTTTTTTTTTTTTCCAGAGAGGAAGGGAGGAGAGAGAGTTAGAAATATCGATGAGAGAGAGACATCGGTCAGCTGCCTCCTGCACACCCCCCACTGGGATGTGCCCACAACCAAGGTACATGCCCTTGACCGGAATTGAACCTGGGACCTATTATCAGTCCGCAGGCCAACGCTCTATCCACTGAGCCAAACTGGTCAGGGCCTAACTTAAACAGATTTGGTAAGGTTGCACCTAGGCATATTTCTGACAGGTTGCAGGGGTAGTAAAATAGAATGAATCATTCTATACCCCACAGACGTATGCGATGATTACGGGGATGTTTTATTTAATTTCTCACCATCCTCCAGCCTCAAGTAATGCCGGAATATTAGAATTTCTCTGTTCCCCATCCCTGGGATGAGGTATTTGTCATGAATACACATTCAAACAGCAATTCTTGTGTTTGCATGGAAACGGCAATTCTTTTTTTAACGGTGGTTCTTCCTGAAACTCTGCCTTAAATCTTTTGGGAAGAGTAAATCATTTTTTCCTAACATGGCTAACCCACCTCACACTACTTCCTCCTAAATCAGAATTCTCCTGGCCTAGTGGCCGGCAAACCCATTAGTCCACAGAGCCAAACACCAACGGCACAACGGTGGACATTTCTTTGGAGAGCCACATGTTTTAAACGTAAACTTCTTCTAACGCCACTTCTTCAACATAGACTCGCCCGGGGCCGTGGTATTTTGTGGAAGAGCCACCCTCAAAGGGCCAAAGAGCCGCCTGTGCCTCGCGACCCGCAGTTTGCCGAACACGGTCCAGGACCAAACCTTTGTGATGCAAACACGCGTGTTTTTGCCATTTGCAGTGCTGGCCGCGCCGGTTCTGGAAGCGAGCTCTCCAAGTTCAGACTCCATCCTCGTGCAGTGGGGGGCCGTGTACATGGCCACCGGGTTCTCCGTGTCCATCATGCGGGCCAACGGTCTGGGCAGGATGTGGAAGGAGAACACCACCAACACCACCCTGACATTCACCAGTCTGGACGCCGGGACGCTGTACACCATCAAGGCCTACGCGTGGAACGCCAACGGGACCCCCGGGGATGACTCCACCTGCAACCAGAGGACGGGTGAGACGGCCCAGCCCGCCCGAGCTCCTCGGTGGCTAACGGAGGGGCCGGGCCGGGAGCCATCCGGCGCTGTGCTCCGAGATGAGCGGAGAGCAGCTGGCAGCAGCTATTCAAATGCATGATGAGTTTATTTATAGCTCCCTGCCAGACCCCCTGGGCAGTTTAGATGCTTCCTGCATGAACAAAGAAATGCTCATTTCAGAGCAGATGCAACTAGTTGAGATGACATCATGGGGTGGGCCCTAGTCCAGTATGACTCAGGTCCCTGTAAAAAGAGGGAAATTTGGACCCAGACGTACACATGCAGGGAGAATGCCGTATGAAGCCCAGGGCCGCCGTAGACAAGGAGAAAGACCTGGCATGCAGCCTTTTTTGCCGGAAGGAGCCCACCCTGCCAACACCCTGACTTCAGACTTCTAGTGGCCAGGACTGCGAGGCAAAACATCTCTGTCATTTAAGCCACTTTTTAAAATATATATATATATTTTTTGCCCTAACCGGTTTGGCTCAGTGGATAGAGCGTCGGCCTTCGGACTTGAGGGTTCCAGGTTCGATTCCGGTCAAGAGCAGGTATGGGTTGCGGGCACATCCCCAGTGTGGGGCGTGCAGGAGGCAGCTCATCAAAGTTTCTCTCTCATCGATGTTTTTAACTCTCTATCCCTCTCCCTTCCTCTCTCTAGAAAATCAATAAAATATATTTAAATAAATAATAAAAAATATATATATTTTTATTGACTTCAGAGAGGAAGAAAGGGGAGAGAGAGAAATCTCAGGGATGAGAGAGAATCATTGGTCAGCTGCCTCCTGCACCGCCCACACTGGGGATGGAGCCTGAAACCTGGGCGAGTGCCCTGACTGGGAATTGAACCATGACCTCCTGCTTCATGGATCAATGTTCAACCACTGAGCCATGCTGGCTGGCTGTTTAAGCCACTTGGTTACAGCAGCCCCAGCCAAGTCAGGCCACATCCGAAATCTCTAAAACTTAAAACCCGGGGAAATGAACAAAGAGAAAGGCTTTGAGAAACCAGTCACCCCTCACACACGTCTCTCCCTGCCCCCTCCACACCCCCCAGTGGCCATGTACACGGCTTCCCACTCCACGATGTAATTCTGCACGATTAACCCTGGTGTAGACACCCCTCCTGCCACTCTCTGGCTCCCCGTCCTCCCATCTAAGCACTTGACGGGCCACATCTTACTCGGGTTCTTGCAGCTTCTGCCGAATCTTCACTGTTTCTCAAAAACACAGGTCCCCGGGCTCCTGCCGACATCCAAGTCTCTTTGGACAGCGGGGCCCTGGCGGCCTCGGTGTCCTGGGCCCCCACGGAAGGCGCGTCCAACTACACGGCGCTGGCCCGGAGCGCCTCCTCCCGGCGCAGCTGCAGCACGGCCGCCAGCGGCTGCACCATCGCCGGCCTCCGCTGCGGTACTGAGTACCTGATCTCCGTGGCGGCCAGCAACGATGCCGGGTCCAGCAGCTCAGCGGCAGCGGTGGCCCTGACAACCGGTACGTCACGGCCCTGGCCGGTTTGGCTCAGTAGTTAGAGCATCGGCCCGTAGACCAAAGGTCTCGGCTTGGATTCTGGTCAAGGACATGTACCTGGGTTGCAGGCCCCATCCCGGTCCAGGTTGGGGCATGTGCAGGAGGCAACCCATCAATGTGTCTTTTTCACATCGATGTTTCTCTCTCTCTCTCTCCCTCTCTTCCCTCCCTCTCTTTCCACTCTTTCTAATAAATCAATGGGGAAAATATTCTTGGGTGAGGATTAACAACAATAACAACCAAAAAAAAAACAAAAACAAACAACAACAACAAAAACACAGACACACACACACACACACACACACACACACAAACACCCAGAAACAACAACAACAAAAAGATATGTAACCAAGAGCGAGGTCACTGTGGGGCTGGCGAGCCAACGTGACCGCCATGCGGACACCGGTGAAGTGACAGGAGAGCCGGGCCCAGAGGAAAGCCTGGGGCTGGACGTGCCGATGCGGTTGAGTAACATGGACGCGAAACCAGATGCTTCCCGGGCATCAGGAGAAGCGCGTCTGTGAAGAGAGGCGGCCGGGTTCCGGGTCCGAGCCCAGATGGCTCCTCGCTTCGTTCCCGTCTCACCTGCCAGGCTCACAGTTCCCATGACCAGTGAGTCGTGCTCAGCTCTAACCATGCGCACAGAGGGCGGCCTCTTCTTGGCATCACCTTCCTCAGACCCAGGCAGGGGGGTGCCCTCTTTGAAGATGAAGAAGGGCTGTCCGTCATTCTGAATGGGTGTCCAGCTAACCCCCCGTTTTCATTCTGATTGAAGATATGAGGCACACAGATGCGGAGGTTGGCCCCTCTATGGGGAAATAGATACGTGTCTGGGGGAGGGAACTGACATCTGGTGAAGACCTACAGTGTCCCAGGCCTTCTAGGCACATCCTTTTATTTAATTCTCAACGAGGTAGGTTATCTCCTTTTCAGATGAGAAAATGGGAGCGCGGAGAAGTTAAATCATTTTTCCAAGGGCTCGGTGAGGTTCATTTCAGGCACCATCTGGAATCCAAGCCTGAATTTGCCTGATTTGACTTCTCTAAGCCAGAGAAAATGTAGCTAACTGCAAGAATGTCCACTTGACCCCCCAAATTCAGAATTACATCACTCTAAATGGAAAGATTTCTGAACAGGGAGGAAGAGAGCCGTCACCAAGCCGGCACACTCATTTTCAGGGGGGGAAATACAGCCAACCCTTCAGGTCACAAATAAATAACATAATAATGAAATTGTGTAAAATAGAATCATAATGATGTCAAAGTCACTGATAACAAGTTGGTGACTTGGCTTCTCGTTGAACAGCTCTAATTCAGTGTGGTTGGCACATTGGAAACGATTAGGAGAAGCTAAGGGAGGGAGAGAGAGGAAATACGCTTTCACTTTCCTTTTGGCCAAAATGACTAACGCCGAGGGAATGGGGAGAGGCCCCTCGCTGGGTGCCTTTTAGAAAACACAGCTGTTCCTTTGGCCACATATATGTGAGTCTACAGGAAAGCTGATGTGGCACCATTCAGAAAGGAACGCCCCACAGATGCCACCAGGAAACACTGGCAGAGACTACAGGGTCAGCCGGCACGCAGCAGGCATTGTTGTAAACAAACAAGTGAAGGGCAAGATTCTAGCCAAGAGAATGAAGGCATGGATTGAGCGTATGACACACGTGAAGAGCCGAGACAGCTTCCGGAAACGTGTACAGGACAATGATCAGAAAAAGAAGGAAGCCAGCCTCCTCCCTCCCCAGCAGAGGGCATGCAGGAGGAAGCTGATCGACGATTCTCTCTCATCATTGATATTCCTGTTTTTCTTTCCCTCTCCCATCCTCTCTCTGAAAATAATTAAAAGTATTTTTTAAATAAAATAAAATGCTGAAAGCTTGGAGCTTGAAAGAATGAACTTCCAGTTGAATCCATTCCTTCAGAAGACTTTATTCTGTGTCGATCCTGGCATTGCCTCAACGCAGAAACAATACTGAACAACCCGTGACTGTTTCCAACACAGTCTTAGCCTGCATGGGCTAGATACATTTTAGGCCGTTTGAGAATGTCTCGTGGGCTTGCACCTACTGTTGGACAGTATTTCCTTGTTCAACAGCCTCCGGTATCGGGGACAGTTGCAAAGAAGCAAAGCAAACTTCTCACACCTGTTTACGGTTCATCCTTCCCTAGTTGCTTGTGCACCTGGAGGAGTGACGATCCAGGAAGACCCCCCTGGCCACCTGTCTGTGTCTTGGTCCAACGTGGACCTGGGGGATTACTACGTGGCCTTCGTGAAGAGCGATGACGGCTTGGAGGTTCACTGTAACACATCCCTCACTCGGTGCGCCTTCCCGTCCGAGTGTGGCTTCACCTACTTCATCAGCGTTTTTGCCTACAACAGGGCGGGCCAGAGCCCGCTGGGTGAGGTGTTCAATTACACCACAGGTGAGTCCCACCTGACGCCTGTAAAGGGGGGATCAGAGCCCACTACAGGCAGCAGTAAAATGGATCACCTGTGACCTCGCCCCTTTGGGGGCTATGCTTGGGCCAAGAATGGGAAGGGAATCCCTCCTTTCACATTTTTCCAGGCTAGCAAGTTTTGGTTTCCTGGACCAACGCTTAACCAGAACACAAGGGTTTGGAGTGAACAGAAAGGAAAGAATATAGTTGTTCAACCCCGCTCTGAAATCGGACCCCTCCACCGAGGTGTTCAGCTGTCGTGCTGGACGTTCCTGGACGTTCAATGGGATGCCATCCTTATGTCTCAGGAATTCCTTCCTCTCCCTAAAGCAGGACACAGAGAGGCAAAGATGCTACATAGCGTGGAGGGCTTTGTAGAGGGACACCTGGGTTCAGGTCCTAACTTGACCCCCAGCTTATCTGTAAAATGGGGACCATGACGTTGCTAGTTCCTCTGTATCTCCCACTGCCACATGGAACAAATAATAAGTAACGAAAAGACAAATATGAAAAGGTCTTTGCATGGGACCAGGCACAATGCAAGCATGTTCATTAGCATCGTTATTACCGTTACTGTCATTCGCCTCCTCCTCTAGGCTTGCATCTTTTCTGGGGCAGGGACTGTGCTTGGTTTATCTCTTCATCCTCAGTGCTTGTCGGAGTGTGGTTGGCTCCATATGGGAGATGCTTGATTTTTGAAGAATGAATGGAGTGAGCGGCTTAAAACTAGTCAACTAGATTTGCAGATAAGAATACTACATGTAGAAGGTAGTATTTATGTGGTTCTTTGGCCTCTCGAGTGTGGCTCTTCCACAAAATACCACGGCCTGGGCGAGTCTATTTTGAAAAAGTGGCGTTAGAAGAAGTTTAAGTTTAAAACATTTGGCTCTCCAAAGAAATTTCCATCGTTGTCCTGTTGGTATTTGGCTCTGTTAACTAATGGGTTTGCTGACCACGGGTCTACGAGGGTTTTGCCATAATTGAGGGCCGTGACAGACTCGTGCGCGGGGAGGTCAGGGTCTGCTCCCGCACTGACCCGCACCCCCTCTCTGTGTCTGCGCCCAGCTCCCTGCTGTCCCAGCGACATTAACCCCGTGCTGGTGTCCAGCGACAGAGTGGAGATGGTCTGGTCTCCCGTCCGGGGCGCCGAACTCTACGAAACCAGGGCCGCCGACGGGCTCAACGTGGTGCAGTGCAACGACACGGCCCCCGCATGCACCCTCTCCGCTCTGGAGTGCGACACCAAGTACAATGTCACCGTGTACTCCTTCAGCGAGGCCCGGGGCAGCAACACCTCCTGCGCGTCCCGCTTCGTCACCACCGGTACGTCCGCCACGCTGACCCCGCCGTCCCGCCCGCCCCGGCGGTGAGCCCCAGGGTGGCCGCCAGGGGGAGCCACTGAGAGGCTGACTCCCACGCCGCTCCTGTGGGACCAGTGGGGCTCGTCTGACCAAGGGGAGGCCGAGAGAGGGCGGGAGAGGGGAGCTGGAGAAAAAGAAAAGGAAAGAGGAGACCCTGGGGGTGATGGGAGGTTCTGCCTGCCAGCCACTCACGTCCCCTCCCTTCGGGGCTCCGGCCTGTGTTCGCATCATGAGGGTTCAGGCCACACATGTTTGTCTCAATTACTTTGTGTGTGTGTGTGTGTGTGTGTGTGAGCTGATTTTTTAAAATTATTACTATTGATTTTCTACAGAGAGAAAGAGAGAGGAATAGAGAGCTAGAAACATTGATGAGACAGAACATCGACCAGCTGCCTCCTGCACACCCCCCACCGGGGATGTGCCTGCAACTAAGGTACATGCCCTTGACCAGAATCGAACCTGGGACCTTTCAGTCCGCAGACCGACGCTCTATCCACTGAGCCAAACCGGTTTCAGCGTGAGCTGATTTTTTAATTAAGCAAGCTTAGTGCACCTGTAATAATTATCATGACAAATACGCTTAGGCGTAATTATGTCTTCAAATTTATATTATGAGTTCTGTTTTTATTTCTTCTGAATTTTAACTATTTTACTGTGTATCTGTTTGTGAGCATGCATGTGTTGCTTCTGATAATCTGGAAAGTTTTTATTACATGAAGCGCAGACCACCTTACAGAGTGGTTATATACAAAACCCCACAGGAAGCATCAACAGCACAAACAGCAGAAGTTATGCAAGCTTCATTTTTTTTACTTCAACAAATAAAAAACAGCTTAAAGTTTATGTTATGAGGATAATCAATTACTTCCCCCCCCCCAATCACTTTTTTAAAAATAGGTTTTTATCGATTATAGAGAGGAAGTGATGGAAATATCGTCCATCAGCTGCCTCCTGCATGCCCCCTGCTGGGGATCAAGCCCACAACCTGGGCACAATCAGGAATCGAACCCTGACCTCCTGGTTCATGGGTCAACGCTCAACCACTGGGCCACACCAGCCACGCTCAACTCCTTTTGCTTTTGGAGTCCAAAGTGTAGCATTTCCCAGTTAGTCGGATGCTCTAGGAACCCCAAACCATGTGTCAGTGGCGCCAAGGTCTGCACACAAAGACTATGGATTTGGCCTGCGCGCCGGGGATGGCTGAAAGGGGCGCTGATCTCATTGGGGGGGGGGGGGGGGGGGGGGTGAACGTCGGCTTGAGAGCAAATGGCACAGGCGATGTTGCTGGCTGTCCCTGTCTCAGCGAATGACCCGAACTCTCCCAGCTCCTTGCAGCCCTGAGATACAAAGCCTCTCGAAGGACGCCCTCTCCGCGACCCACGTGCACTGGACCTCCAGGAACCGGGGCGCCACCTACACCGTGACGGCGCGGGGCCAGGAGGGGCTGTTCCGGTGCAGCAGCTCCGGCCGGACCTGCGCCCTGGGCGGCCTGCCCTGCGGCTCCCTGTTCTCCGTCACCGCCGTGGCCGAGACGCAGGCGGGCCGGAGCCTGCCCAGCTACAGCGTCCCGCTGGAGACAGGTACGGGCAGCCGCCGGTCTGCACCCGGCACCCGGAGGGGGCCCGAGGAACTGTCTTAGGACATGAACTGTTGTACCTGATCTACCCTCCGTGTGACAGAGGCACAGGAAGCTCAGAGGCCTTTCCAGGAGCCCCAGTCTTTGCCCTGGCGGCAGGGTAGCTCAGTTGCTTGGAGCATCGTCCCAAATAGGCCAAGGTTGTGGGTTCAATCCCCCATCAAGACCCAGGCAGGAATCAATCAGTGAATGGATAGATAAGTGGATCAACAAGCTGATCTCTCTCTTTCCCTCACTTTCTCTTTCTTCCTTTCTCTCTCTCTCTCTAATCAATTAAAAAAGCCCAAGTCTTAAAAAGCTTTCCTCCTTTGAACACAGGCTCTATAGAAACATCCGAGACTCAAATACACTCATGCATTGACATCAGAGGGGAATATGCTGACTCTGCAAGAACACTTATTTGAAGTCCTATTCCCCCGTGACACAATCTACCAAAACAACTAACAAGTGGCCAGATGAGCTGGGTTATTATTTACCTCTTTGGCTCAGCCTTTTTGAGTCTTTGCCTTTCCTAACATGTAAAGGTGGGAAATGGCTTCCTGGAGTGGTCGTGAATATTAATTAATCCGGCAAAGCTCTCCACATAGTACCTGCTGCACAGTAAGAGCCGGATGAGAGAAAGTGGTTATTGCTTCTTAGTCTTGTGTGTGAGCAAAATTTAGCAAGCTGCTTACAGCCTTTGGACATTATTTTCTCTTATATACAATGGCCAACAGCACTTTGGACTATAAAAAGGTGAAATGAAAAAAGCTGTGGAATAGAGACAATGCCAAGTACACTGGGAAGTTTCTAGAGGTTTCTATGTTCTATATAAGGGGTCCCTGTGAAAATGGAGACTTGGCTTGTGGTATTCTTAGGTTGTTAGGAATATTTCAAGCTTTCATATCTGGTATATGAAATGCATGGTAAATGAAAAATGCATTTAATTACAAATGCTCTGAAATGTTATATTGGGAGGAGGGGTGCAGGCAGCTGCTGCTTTGAAATTTGCAACTGGAATTGTTAAAGCTGGGGGACAACGAAGTTTATTCTTATTCTGAAAAAAAAAAAATGGGGGCAACCTCATGTTACCCACAGCCGGTTAATGCATTGTGTTCTTGGGGGAAGCACCCACTATACACTGAGTGGCCAGATTATTATGATCTCTGGACACATAATAATCTGGCCACTAAGTGTGTGTGTGTGTGTGTGTGTGTGTGTATAATATATAATTTTTTTTAAGAGGCCCGATGCATGAATTTGTGCATGGGTGGGGTTCAGCCAGCCTGGCCAAGGGGAGGGGACATGGCAGTTGGCTGGCCTGCCTACTGGTCCAACTCCTGGTCGAGGGAACAATTTGCATATTAGCCTTTTATTATATAGGATAGACACTGAGTAGCCAGATTATAATGCGTTCAGAGATCATCATCATCTGGCCACTCAGTGTATAAATTCAGTTGATGTTAACTGATGCATCAGAGGACATGAGAGTTTGCTTAACAAAAGGAAATGTTCATTAAATGGAAGGTTTGAGGGATGTAGACTAGTGAGTGAAACACAGGCTGAATACCATTCTTGGTCATTTTTCACAAATCACCCTCCGTTCTCTTTTTGTCTTCTCGTGTCAGTGCCCTGCTGTCCAGCCGGCCTGACAGTGACCCAGGTCACCCAGTCAGTGGTCAACGTGAGCTGGACTGTTGGGACCGGGGCCCTCACCTACGTGACCGTCCTGGCGTCCCGCACTGGACAGTCTCAGTGTCACACCCATCAAAACCACTGCCTCCTGGGATGCGTCACTTGTGGCGTCAATTACACAGTGGCCTTAAAAGCAATCAGCGCCACCGGGCTGACCGCAGACTGCGCCTACCAACGCTACGCCTCTAGTAAGTGGATCCTCAACTCAGCTCTCCAGCATCTATAAGGGCCTGGATAATGGATGAAAGACGCCGTTTCTCCTGGGAAAGAGCTCCATGGCCAGCTAGTCGTGTCTGCCACAAGGCCTAGGACAGGAGCGTTGAAAGACAGTTTTACCAGTCCAGGGGTCGGAGAACAAGTCTGCAGATGGGAGCCTAACGCCACGGCTTCATATAAGCTATGCTGCCTTATCTTCCCTGGTTCTGTTCCCACCTTGGGAAGAGGAATAGGAATAATCAGGACAAGAAAGCATATATAACGTGCTATAGATACGTAAGGTGGTTTGTACCGTCTCCTGGCCCATTGCTTTTCCTTAGATTCGCTGCCTAAGTTCTCACCCTGATATCTACTTCTGGGAATATGGCCCTTTGCTTAGCTTCACACTCCACCCCACCCCCCCCCACCCCAACATTTTTTTTCTAAAGAATAAATCCAGCCCTGACCAGTTTGGCTCAGTGGTTGAGTATTGACCTATGAACCAAGAAGTCCCGTTTGATTCCCCATCAGGGCACATGCCTGGGTTGCGGATTCGATCCCCAGTGGGGGGCATGCAGGAGGCAGCTGATCAAAGATTTTCTCACATCATTGATGTTTCTATCTTTCCCTCTCCCTTCCTCTTTGAAATAAAAAAAAAAAAAAATTTTTTTTAAGAAGAAAAAGAAATCCAATGAGCCTGATTATCTATAACTGAATTCTTCTTCTTATCATACAACAACATCTTTATTTTAGTTACGGAGGAATCTACCATTTGGTGCCCTGCCTGACACCCGATGTGTGATCCGCTCAAGGCGTTAGGAAAAGAGGAACAAAGTGGCTCATTGGCTGGCCCCTCTGCGTTCAGCACCATAGGCCTTCTGCGTTAGAGCCGCAGTAGCCAATGAGGTTAAACCCAATCCCACGGAAAGCAGCTGAGACAAGGGCAGTAGGAAGGCTCTTGACAAGGACTCTGTGCCTTTGACTTAGAACTTTGGACTCATCTACACTCCATATCGGCCAGGTGTGACTTTTGGACTCGCCATGGTGCTCTCTTAAAGAGCCATGCCCCTGGTTATGGACAAAAGAAAGAAAAGAAAATCCACACACAGGGATTTCTCCTCTTGTCTGTTTTTCTCTCTTCTCTCTTACCGTCTAGTGCAGTGGTCGGCAAACTCATTAGTCCACAGAGCCAAACGTCAACAGGACAATGATTGACATTTCTTTGGAGAGCCAAAACTTTTAAGCTTAAACTTCTTCTAATGCCACTTCTTTAACATAGACTCGCCCAGGCTGTGCTATTTTTGTGGAAGAGCCGCACTCCAGGGGCCAAAGAGCCGCACGTGGCTCGGGAGCCGCGGTTTGCCGACCATGGGCCTAGTGCATTTCCTTAACTTTTTCCACATGGATTTCTAACCACGTGGCCCATGGTGGGAAGAACTCAGTACCTCTTCAGATCTTGCTCTCCTCACACACACCCCTTAGCCTGAGTCGCTTGTATTGTCTCCCCGTAGCAATAAGGGCCGTGTGTGTGCAACGGGGGGACTAAGCGGTGTGTGCGTCTCTCTGTCACCCTTCAGGTGTCTGCTGCCCCCTGGGAGTGAAGCTGTACCGGCTGGGCCCCCATGGCATCCGGGTGGACTGGCGAGCCGCCCGGGGCTCCGCCAGCTACAGCTCCGACCTCCACGGCTCCAAAGGCGTGTTCACCTGCTCCCCCCGCGCCGGCCTCAGCTTCTGTGACGTCACGGGGATACCCTGCGGGGACGTGTACACCGTGATGGTCTCCCCGGTGGCGGAGACGGGCCTGAAGCTCACCTTCTGTCCCAAAAAGATATATTCAGGTAGAGCGAGTTACGCAGGACTCTGCTTACAACAAGCCCTCGGCACCATCTGGGAAGGGAGACTCGGGGCCACTCGCCCTGACCTGGGGGAGAGAAGGTCAAAGAGGGTAGGATGCCCGGGCCTGCGTGGCTCAGTTTGGCTGAGCATCGACCCATGAACCAGGAGGTCAGGGTTCGACTCCCCGGTCAGGGCACCTACCCAGGTTGCAAGCTCGATCCCCAGGGTGGGGCGTGCAGGAGGCAGCCGATTGATCTCTCTTTCCTCTTTCTGTAAAATTTATTTAGAAGCATAATAAAAAAAAGAAGGTACGACATTTCCACACCCTGCAGGCAGGCGCTGGCACCTGGGAACCCCTGGCTTCATGGGAATCGTGATGCTTCGTTATGACTTGATTTGGAGATGCTCCATCTCCCTCCTCCTCTCTCCTTTGGGAAGAGGACCGGATGTTCGCTGCTTAGATTGTAAAGGCAACTTTTAAATGAGTTTCTGCTTTCAGATTTGGGGACAGATTTTTTTTTTTTTAACACAGTCTTAGAGATAATGATAGACACCCTGGAACGTTGGAAATTAAGACACTTGAATTTTTATTTGTACCGATTCAGTCTTGTGACTGAGGAAGGGTTGGGGGAATCAGAAAAACACACACACGGATTCATAAATCCTAAGCTGGGCTTGGCAGTCTGTGATCCCCAATCAGAACAGTCGGCAAGTGCCACCTCACAGTTCCCTGCCCTGTATTCCAGCCATCCCCCCGCCCACTACCGTGCCCAGGCATGCTCACATACTTTTCATAACCTTCCAAAAAAGAAAAGAGACGATGAAGCCTTCGAACCCAGGAGGAGGAGGAGGCAAGCTTGGCTCAGCGATCTTGGCTGAGAAGCAGAACCTGAAACATCCATTCCGTGGAGGTGACGAAGATTCGGGAGGGCTCCGAGGATGGAGCGCGGCCAGGCCCCCGGCGGGGGCGTGCTCCCTGACCTTGGCTGTCACGCTCCGATTCCCTATTTCTTCATTATCTTGTCCACAGGACGAGCTGGCCCGAAGCAGGGCCCTCTGGGGAGTGACAGGATTAGGTTGCTGGGGTGGGGGTGTGCTCGGAGGAAAAAGAGCATCACAGGATTTCATTAGAGCTGCATCATGTTTTACAATCTATCAAGTGTTTTACTTTATTATTATTTTATTATTTTCTGTTAATCCTCACCGGAGGATATTTTTCCATTAATTTTGGAGAGAGTGGAAGGGTAAGGGAGAGACAGAGAGAACCAGGGCTGTGAGAAGTCACATGCCCCGACCAGGATTGGGATGGAGCCTGCACCTGAGGCCCCTGTCCTTGACCTAGAATTGAAACTGGGACCCTTCAGTCCTCTGGCGGATGCTCTATCCACTGAACCACACTGGCTATGGGCTCTACCATGTGTTTTAAAATGTGTCAAGTATTTTCATATTCAATATCTCAATGCTGTTTCCCTGGTAAAAACCATGCATCTGGGGGACATTTCTTGGAGTTGTTTTTAGAAATGTTGTTTTTTTGTGCTGTTGTTTTTTTTCTTCTTCAGTGTCAACAATGCATTACCCTGATAATTAGGACAATATTGTAAATTATAATAATGACTAACAGCTATTGCCTATGTGCTGCAACTATTATAAGGGTTCACATGAATTAATTGATCTTTATAATAATCCTATGAAGTCCGAAATCTTCTTCTTACCCCTTATAGGTAAACTGAGGCACCGAGCAGTTAAATGACTTGTCCGAGGTCAGACTGCTAGTAGTTATCTCCTTCTCCAATCACCCAAATTGGTTCTCATTTATTCTTTTTAAAAATATATTTATTTTTATTGATTTCAGAGCAGAAGGGAGAAAGAGAGACAGAAACATCAATGATGAGAATCATTGATCAGTTGCCTCCTACACATCCCCTATTGGGAATCCAGCCTGCAACCCGGGCATGGGGCTAAACCAGGGATCGAACTGTGACTTCCTGGTCCATAGGTCAATGTTCAACCACTGAGCCACGCCTGCTGGGCACTCATTCATGCTTTGGTTTACTTCCCCTTTGTTCTTTCTGAAGTTGTATCACCTTAAACATATCCATAAGTATATGTGAAATGCCGTGTTTTTATTTATTGCAGTCACCTGCTCCGGAAGTACCCTTGGAATGGGTAAGTCATTTTTCTCATGGATGAAATAGAAGGGGACTTTCTCATTGCATTTTAGGGTGACAGTGAAGTCAGGACCAAAGCTGACTCTTCAGTTAATCGGGGAGACAAATGCTAGGGTGTCTGCTTCCGGTGTGCATGGACGGACGAGCCCCGGGGCGGAAAAGGGGTGCTGAGGGGGAGACTGGGATCAAGATGGCGCTCACGGCCTCCTTGGGTGTGCTCTGGGCTGATCCCGGCGAGGCCATTCTGGGCGCCCCACGGAGGCCACCGTTGGGCCAGGCCGTGGGGATGACCACACAGTCACGTGTGCCAACCCAGTCAGTGGCCTGTGCTGCTTCGAGAGAAATGCCTGCCACGAAGGGTGGTTTGGTTTGGGGCCTCGGGCCTCCTGTTTCCAGGGAAGTCATATAAACCCCAGACCGCAGGCAGGCCCCTGTGCATGTACACATATGCCCAGCCAGACATGGGTGACTTCAGAGCATGTGTGTGCAAATGAAGCCTTCCCACCAGCAAGCCCCACCCGGCTGCCCCCAGTCTGGGCCAGCGTCCCATCGACCACCATCCACCGACAGGGATCAGGGCTGAGTCTCTCTCTCTCCCCGACACCTGCTCTCTGCCTCCGCTCCCAGCCCAGCGCTCCTCTGAGCTCAGCAGGAACCTGCGGGCCTGAGACAAGCACAGCCCCTGTGAATGTTTAAAGGGGTTCTGTTTCCGGTGGCTGCAGGGGAACGCCTGACTTATTAAAAACCAGCTGTGAAAAGCTTCTACATTATTAAAAAGCAACTTTTAAAGAACTCCCCAGGTGCTCATGACCTAGTCTTCAGGGAAGTGTCTACGGGCCTAGGTCTGCATTCTTGGAGACTATTTCCATGATTACACTTTGCTTTGTTTTTTTCTGTTAATCCTCACCCGAGGATTTTTCCATTGATTTTTTAGAGTGAGTGAAAGGGAAGGAAGAGGGGGGAGAGAGAGAGAGAGAGAGAGAGAGAGAGAGAGAGAGAGAGAGAGAGATGTGAAAGAGAAACATCGATCAGCTGCCTCCTGCACACCCCCCACTGGGGATGTGCCTGCAACCCAGGTACATGCCCTTGATCAGAATCAAACCTGGGACCTTTCAGTCCTCAGGACAACACTCTATCCACTGAGCCACACCAGTCAGTGCTCTTGCCCTTTTTTTGATTGCTGGTTCCTCCTCCCTGTGAAAGAACATGCCAGATCCAAACGCTGATCTGAACCTCAGAGCCGTTTGAGGCCTTTTTAATGCAAGAAAGTGTCTGCCTGTGTCCCCTCCCCTCCCTTGTCGCCCGCAGTGATTTACAGAGGGAAGAGAAACGCGGAGTGACAGAGCGAGGGGCGATGACAGCGGAGACGTGACTGAGTGAGTAATGTGAATCAGCGAGGTGTGATTCCAAGGCCCAGTGTTTTGTCTTTTGTTTTTCAAAGTTCTCCCCCACCTGTTTTGCAGGGCTGTCTCAAACGCTAGTGTGACGGGAGATGGACAAGCTTTGTTAGCCTACACAACGCATCTAGCATAGCACAAGCTCTTTAGAAGAACAACTCTGACTCCACTTCTGGAAGGCGAGGTCAGGATCCTGATCAGCGTGGCTCAGTGGTTGAGCGTCGACCTATACGAACCAGAAGGTCACGGTTCCACTCCCGGTCCGGGCACAGGCCCGGGTTGCAGGTTCGGTCCCCAGTAGGGGGCGCGCAAAGGCAGCTGATCCATGATTCTCTCTCATCCCTGATGTTTCTATCTCTTTCTCTCTCCCTTCCTCTCTGAAATCAATATATGAAAACTGCGGAGAGGACTGGGGAGAGAGATAGACCCAGCAAGTCCTCTGGAAGGCTGCCAGCGTGAGCCGTGCCCTGGGCAAGTCCTGGACACGTGAAAGGTCTGCTTGGGAGATTCCTTCTGAGATTTCACATCCAGACATGCCGTGGCCTTCCCATCTGCTCCTCGGCCTTCAGCACATCTGCTCCGTGAGTGCTTCATCGACACCAGCCCTGGCTGTGGAGCCCTTTAGCCATTCAAGGCTTAACATAAAGTGACTCCATTTTTGGCCAGGTGTATTTTTTTTTAACAATGCCATTTGCGTGCTTGAACTTATATTATGGCTTATTTTACATTTCCTTTTCATGACTAAAGAGCAAACATTGCAGGTTATCTTACAGACTGCTCTATTTGTAACTTTCTGTATAACTCAAGCCTGGTCTTTTTCCCACTCACCACTGGCTGTGCATCCCCGCTAAGTGACTTAACTTCATTAAGCTTTCGTTTCCTTGGTAACGAATACTTTGAAGGCCAATGAGATAATCTACTTACCGTGGGTGCCTGGCATCTAGTAAGCCCTCAGTAAATATTTACTATTATTAGCAGTAGAAATAATTTCCACTTCTCTGTGTGACCAACTTGAATTAAGGCCATTGGTTCTTTGCAAATCTCTGTAGGAAAGCCTACTTTCTTTCAGCCAGCGTGTGTGAGGATGACGTCACAGTTGGGCGGCTTAAGTCTGAGCTCTCTGATTATCTCCTCTGGGAGTCAGCTTTCAACAGTAATCCCCTTCTTCTGGACTCTAAAGCCTCTCCCATACAATTTGACACATGAATTTATGTTTAGCAAATAAATAATCATTGTTTTATTGGTTCACTTATGTATATCATCATCATCAAAGCATTTGCTTTTGAAACCAACTTTTGACCTCTTTCAGCATTCCAGGAATTGAGCTCTATAATTTGACTATGAGTTCTTCAGGAGTGGGTTTAGTTCCGGGCACACTGGAGGTACACCTTATAGTTGTTCTACACCGTTATTCTGTCCTTGAAAACGGCATAAAATCAACTTTTGGAGGTGGGGGGGGTAAGGTTCCCATTCGGTTGTTGAAGTGGCTACTGAGCGAAGTCTAGTATGAATCGCTTCGCAAAGAGAAGAATTCCCTTCTTCTTGTCTAGCACCCAGGGATCCCAAAATCTCTCAGGTGCTACCAGCTGCACGTTTTTTGTTTTGCTTCTGACGTCACCCGAGGGTGACGTGACCCCGCCTCCCGCTAGGGGGCGCGCGGCTGCCGGCTTCCACCCGCATCGCGCAGCCTCCGTCCAGGGGTGGGGGCGTGGCTCCCGTGCGGACGACGTGACGTCACGGCGGGCGCGGCCGGCGGGGGCGGGGCCACGGGAGCGCCCCGGAGCCCAGCTGAAGTCGGTGGCGAGCCAGCGGGAGGCGGCGGCCGCTCCTCCGCAGCGACGGGAAGATGGCGCCGCCGGAGCCGGAGCGGGGGCTGAAGAGCGTCGTGTGGCAGAGTGAGTGCGGAGAGGCCGGGGCTGAGGGAGGCGGCCCGGCCTTCCCGCCCCGGACCGGCTTCCTCCGGGGGAGCGGCCGCGGGCACTTGTTGCTTCGGGACGCGCGTCCCTGTCAGGACCTCTTCCTCCTTCCCGGCCCCGCTCCGCCGGGAGGGGCGGGGCGGGCGGCGGAGGCGGCCTTCCTGCGGGCGCCCGGCACCCCCGCGGCCCCGCGGGGAGAGCGCCCGGCCCCTGCGCGGGCCCCGGCCGCGCCCCCGCCTCCCGGGGCCGCTCCAGGCGGCGATGTCGCCGCCGGACGGACAGTCGGAGCCCTGTTTCCCGCCCCGCCCTTCCCCTCCCTCCCCGGCCGCCCTCGGAGCCTGCTGCCGCGGTGTGCAGTGTCCTTTACAGACAAACAAACAAACGCACGGTCAGGACACCGCCTCCTCCCTCTGTCCCCGGAGGCGCCCACTTGTCCGCAGTGGCGGGGCCATTGGGATGACGGGCTCTGGGCCGCTCCCGGCTCTTAGGGCTGGACCACTTTCTTTTTTCTCTCTCTCTCTTTTAAAATGTATATCTTTATGGATTTCAGAGAGGAAGGGAGAGGGAGAGAGAAACAGAAACAAACATCAATGATGAGAGAGAATCATGGACCGGCTGCCTCCTGCACGCCCCCTACTGGGGACCGAGCCCGCAACCCAGGCATGTGCCCTTGGCTGGAATCGAACCTGAGACCCTTCAGTCCATAGGAAAGATGCTCTATCCACTGAGCCACACCAGCTAGAGCGACTGGACCACTTTCTGGGTCGCCATCCAGGAGGACTTTCCTAAAAGTGGTCCCCCCAGTAGGCTGTCAGGTGGGAAACCGTCCTTGCCCGGCATGGCTGGGAGCAGAGTGAGGGTCCAGCAGTGGGAAGGGAGCAGCATCTATCTAACGAGGATTTCTGACGCCCGGCTCGTTTAGCAAAGACCCCCTATGACTGAGTTAAAATTCTGGGAGTTGCACAGAATTCCTTGTGTGAAACCGAAATTCCAAATCAGTCACTGGCCTTTGTGCTTCACACACCAGGTACGAAAAACAAGTGTACGAAGAGAAAGGAAAAGAAAAAAGAGCTATGAAACCATCTTTTGGGAAATTGGATAATGATAAGGTTGCATTTTGTTTCTCAGTATGTGTGAGGCTGGCTTTGAAGATATGGTAATGTCTTAAAGTTGCAAGGGCAGTTAAATATGTCTATGAGAAACAGGGTGATGAGTTGTGCTGTATAAGTAATTTCTAAGCTATGGAATGGTCCTTAGCACCAGCATTTATCAGAAAGAAAATAAAGAAAAAGTTAATGAGAGTAATTCCAGAGAGGGAGCATTGAGAGGTAACACAGGTTCCAGCTTGAGCTGTTAGCATGAGGTGGCACCAGGGTGTCCGGATGGAGTGTAAGATAAGACAGGAGACTGAATGGGAGAAAGAGAGATAATAGTTTAAAATAGTTAAAAGATCCCTTAGGATTTTTTTTAAAAAAATATGTTTTTATTGATTTCAGAGAGGAAGGAAGAGGTAGAGAGAGAAGGAAACATCAGTGATGAGAGACAGCATTGATTGGCTGCCTCCTGCACGCCCCACACCACTGGGAATGGAGTCCACAACCCAGGCATGTGCCCTGACCGGAAGTTGAACCTGGGACCCTTCCGTCCAAAGGCCAATGCTCTGTCCACTGAGCCGAACCGGCTAGGGCCCTTAGGATCTTTTTTTTTAAAAAAATGTGTTTTTATTGATTTTAGATAGAGAGAGAAACATTGTTTCCCGTACCCAACCCAGGGATTGAACCTGCAACCTGGGCATGTGCCCTGACCTGACGGTTGAGCCGGCGACCTTTGGCGACCTTTCAGTGCACAGGAGGACGCTCACCCAAGTGACGCAGACTGGCCAGGGCAGTTCTTAGAGTCTTGGCGTAAATAGGGACATAACCGGAAATTCAAGATGATGCTCATTCACCATTTAGGGAGGAGAGAGAGAAGGAGAGAAGGGGATGCCTATGAGATCCCGTAGTAAGAGGCGACAGGGTCTGAAAGAAATGATGAAGGAATCTCCTTAGAGGTAGGCAGTCGTACATTTGACTGGGAAAAGGTTTTGCTAGTTTGAAGATAGTACAAAAAGTTAAATACCCTTCAGTTCACCCACCAGGTAGGGAGAAGGGAACAATGTTTTGAACAATTACTCTGTGCCAGGCACTCTTAACATATATTAAAACCTAATAAATTTTAATATCTGATTCATAGCTGTTATCATAGCTGCCCTATACAAAATAGTCAAAAGTCAAAACAACCCAATGTCCATCAAAAAATAACACGTGATATGTTCACACAATGGAATATCATTAGGTAATAAAAGGGGGGGGGGAATATTGATGTGAAAGAGAAACATCAGTTGATTAACTTCCATAGGCGTCGCAACTTGGATTGAACCCCATACATACAACCTGTTCTCGACACTGGGCCACACCAGCTGGGGCTATAGAGGGATTTTTTTTATTAAGCTTTTTATTTTTATTTTATTGATTTTTTACAGAGAGGAAGGGAGAGGGATAGAGAGCTAGAAACATCAATGAGAGAGAAACATTGATCAGCTGCCTCCTGCACATCCCCCACAGGGGATGTGCCTGCAACCAAGGTACAAGCCTTTTGACCGGAATCGAACCTGGGACCTTTGAGTCCGCAGGCTGACCCTCTATCCACTGAGCCAAACCAGTTTTGGCTATAGAGAGATTTTTGACTCCATAGAGGTGGTGCCTCTAACTCCCTGAGTTGTTCAAAAGTCAACTATAATATGGTATGCAAATTATCTCAACAAAGCTATTTAAAAAACCTGACAGCTATTATAGACATAGCTTTCAAACCCTATATTAGTTTTGAAAACCATTTCAAGGAACAAATTAATAACTAGAGGCCTGATGCATGAAATTCGTGCAAGAGTAGGCCTTCGCAGCCTCTATCCTGCGGCTGTAGCCCTGCTTCGTCTGGTCTAATTAGCATATTATGCTTTTATTATTATAGATCAAGACTGAATACTCATTTATATCATAAAGTGATACATGTTCTTGAAAATTGTAATTAATAGTAAATTAGGAAGAAAAAACTTAGCCAGTTTTTTAAAAAACTTTTTTTTATTAATCCTGACCTGAGGATATTTTTCCATTTGATTCTTAGAGGGAGTATAAAGGAAGGGGAGTGACATGATCAATGTGAGAGAGACACATACCGTAGGTTGGTTGCCTCATGCATGAGCCCTGACCTGCAACCCAGTATCTTCCCTGGGACTGGAGTCGAACTGGCTAGGCCACTTACCCAGTTTTGATTGTCAGATGTAATTCAGCAATGGGCTAGTTAGGGATTTTCCTATGGGTTTTTTTGTTTTACTTTGTTTATTTGGGATTTAAGTAAATAGGAAAAAACAAAT